GCTGCGATTTTAGTTGCGATTTTCTCCTTTTGGAGGATGCGAAAGAGTAGATTACTTAATAATGTTGTTATAAGATTTCATGACCAGGAACATTTATAACTCATCTACTCCTTCAAATCCTCCAAAAAAAGAAAATCGCAACTAACATCGCAGTAAAAATCGCCCGTGTAAACAACAGGCCTTAATGGGTTAGTGTCGTTTATTTGAAAATGTGCACCCCAGTAGACAATAAGTAAAAACATCTATGTACAGTACCATATATGCTTTTTATTGATGGCACAGAAAACATTTGACAATGATATCTATTATCTCAATGCAGTTAATTGTAACTGTTCCATGACATAGTATTGTCTGTTAAAAATTATCCACCCCTTATATTTTGTGCAAGTTTCTTATCTTTAATCGACCATTCAATTAACATATATAATTATCCATTAAATATTTGACAGGTCGAAACAACTGACCATTTGCCTTCTAGTACTCTCAGGGACGTCGCTATAGGGGTGTAATAATTCAAACGTTGGTCAAAGTTGGTCAAAATGGAACTGATATTTGCCCAAAGTTGGTCAAAATGGAACTGATATTTGCTTAAAAGTCAAGGTAAAACTCGGAAAAATTTGGTAAAAGTTTGGGATATAAGATGGTTGAAGATGTTAAAATAAATTAAATGGTTCGCAATTTTAAAGCTTCAGTTACATTTGCAGTGAAAAAATCGGAAGCATTGCTTATATTGGTCGAAATTTTTTTGAATATGCTTAGATTAGTCTGGAAAAATTTTTTTGACTGTATTAATCCGGAAAATTTTTTTGACCTGTTAGTGTTATGTGTAAAATATAATATAATGGATTAAAAGTTGGATAGGTGCTGAGAGATCCATGCATTTACTTGATTCAAATTTAAATGATGCAGAATATTACCATTGAAGCCTGGAAATTCTTGATACTGCCTGGTTGAATTATCATGGCATTTAAAGAGTTCACCACGCTTACTTATCTCATCAACAGGAACTTTAAAGTCCTTAACTCTCTTGGCAGTAATATGGTGGCCTTTCGGTTCCAGTGGGTAGAAATGTTCCAGTGGGTAGAAATGTCACCCAGCGGGTAGAAATGTTCCAGTGGGTAGAAATGTCAAGGGCCATAGCTTAGTGAAGTCTTCAGAGCGAAAACGAGCGTGTGGGATGTGCTCGAAAGCGGGAAGGAAGCGTGCGTCGGGAAGAACATTTTAAAGTGTGTATAAGTGCGAGCAATGTAATGTAAATCTTTGTAGAGAGCGTGTATGTTTTATGGAATGGCATCAATAAAGTTATAGTCTAATTAATAGACAAAACCTTTCAATGTTTGCATGTTTTATATTATGCTGTATGTAGTGCTTTTTAATAAAAGACTGGCTCTTTGCCAGGCAGTTTGCCGAACAAGGAAGCCATGTCAATGCAGACATGACAGCTCTGTCATCATGCCGTCAATGCTGGAAAGAATTTCTTCTACTAATTGACCATTTGCGTAATGGACTAAATTTTGATATAGACAAAAAATTTGATCAAAGCTTGAAAGAGCATCACAAAATTAGTAATATTCCAAAGTTTCATTGCGAAATGTTGTAAAATGCGGATAAACAGCCCGATACGCTCTGAGGCTGTCAATTTCCCGTTTTTCATTCTTGAACATTAATCCCAAAGGCTCCTTTAAATAGAAATATTATAGTTATTAACCCTTTAAGTGGCAATGTGCCCTCATGCTTCCTACTTTATATTATTTTACTCTGTCTAACGCCAGACGATTTTACTTGTCAGGGGGAGTATGTGTTGTCACTCAGTGGGGTTAATATTTAACCCATTAAGCACAATCGCTCTCCCCTTGGCGAGTTAAAAGGTCTGACGTATAGACATAGTAAAATTGTCCGGTGTTAGACAGAATAAAATAATAAAGTAGGACACATCAGGGCACAGTTGCAACTCAGTGGCCTGATTTCACCAGTTAGTTGTAGCCAGGTGCCTGGCAGTTAAAGGTTATAATATAATGTATGGTTGGTAAGATTAGCAATTTGCATATTACCATTTATAGCCAACAATGCATGTGCACGTGCCCATTCAAATGTGACCACTTTGGTATTTTAATTACTCCTCAGTGGATTTAAGGGTACTGATGAGTAAAATTGTCTGGCTCAAAAAATAGAGTAAAATACTCCATGCAAGCTGGTTGGGTTAATTAGGTCAGAATTTTAATTATTATTGTGACCTGATGGTAATTTATAATTACATTATGTGATGTACCTGCTCTGATTTTTGTGTCATTACTTCAGAATACTTGTGGGGGATATGTCTAACCACAACATCTTTGAAGTATTGAATGCAGGTATCTCATCAATTATAACACGTGCAAAAAGAGGAATAAAATCGTGCAGCAGATCTTGGTTGTCCTTTGCTGATGGGAGGAATTCTTCAGGTTGAAGTTGTGTGACACAGCCAATTGGCTTGTCATCTGCTGCCACAATTCTATCTTTCACAGTATTCATGTGAAACCAGTGAATACTTTTATTGGGCTTGCTGCTGGACTGATGCTTTATCTTGATAAGCATGTCAACATTGTCACCAATAATTTGCTATTTGGCAGGGCTACTGAGCTTCCATTTTTCAATGGCATCATTCATCAAAGCTGCATTTGTTTGAGAAATTGAGGAACCAGTGGTGAAAGCTTTAAAGGGAAATGGCAATATATTTTTTTATTTTGTCATTTGAAAGAACTTTTGAAACTATTTAATAACTTCTTTTGCCGATTCTTCATACCTTGCTTAGTTCTTGAAATATTTTTACTTGAAGTAATGAGATGTCAGCCATCTTGGATAAATTTATGATCTCATTAACGGTAGTTTTGGTGATGTCACAACAGGGATTAACCATATAAAAGTATTCATTGCTGACCAAATATTGATTGGCAGATGTTTTAAAGGTTTCAAGTGATCTTGATATTTCTAAGGGCATACAGAGTATAATTTTGAGTGCAAAATGATTAGTGGTTGTCTAGATAGAAATATCCTGTGACCCCTGTTGTGACGTAACATGCATATCTACAAAAATCCAAGATGGCGGACATTTCATTTCTTTCGATTAAAATATTTGTAGAAGAAAGCAAGATATGAAAAAAACGGTAAATCAGTTTGATATGATTTTTAAACAAGAAAATAAAAAATATATTGCCATTTCCCTTCAACTCATTAACGCCCAATGTGCCCTGAAATAGACAATGGGGTAATGGACAATGCGCCCGAAACGACACGCCATTTTCATTGGCCAATAATAAGAGATATGCATTTCGCATTGCATAGCAACGGGCACCTATAAAAACACCCGAATCCGCTCTTTCAAATGAGACCTTGTGCAAGCTTGTACAGTTAATATTGTTCAAGTTACGAGCGTTTTAAAACACCTTTGTGCGAATTTTGTTTAAATATGGCTGAAGCACTTCGTAGGTTCAACAGTAGTGAGGACGAAAGCGATTTTGAGGGGTTTATAGTCGACGAAAAGGTTGAAGGAACACAGCCTATCGCAGTGGGAACATCGGCGGTTTCGTGGAGAGACATAGCGGGTGATTCGGACGACGATGAAGAGGACTTTCACGGTTTTTCTGACATCGAAGTTCAAGAACTCGACAGCAATAGTGTGAGCAAAAGTGGAAGCGAGATAAGTAGCGATGGTTTTGATGATATTTTTTAATGGAAAGATAATTTAAGTAGTGTTAGTGTTGAAGACTTTACTGCCGACTTTGGTCCTCGACATGGGTTGGGTTTAGATGCTTCCCCTAAGGACTTTTTCGACTTGTTTTTCGGCGATGCGTTTTTCGATCTCATTGTGCATGCTACAATTTCGTATGCCCGTTCAAAATGCAACGATCCAAATTTTACAACCGACTGTGACGAAATGTCTGCATTTTTTGGCTTGAATATTTTGATGGGAATAAACAAACTTCCAACAATTCGGTCATACTGGGATTCAAATTTATTTTTAGGCAATGCTGGTTTCAAAACAACAATTCCTGTGAGACGTTTCGAGATTTTAAACAAGTATTTTCATATTTCGGACCCGCGGCAAGAAAACCCAACTGATAAACTTACAAAAATTCGGCCCCTTATTTCAAAGCTCGAAAATGCTTTTCAAGATGTTTATGTGCTTGGAAAAAATATTTCGATTGATGAAGGTTTGATTAAATTTAATGGTCGTTTATCTTTCAAGCAATATATGCCTAAAAAACCGAATAAATTTGGTATCAAAATTTGGATGTTAGCCGATTCTGAAACTTATTTTGTGCCACGCTTTCAAATTTACTTAGGTAAACAACAAAATGCCGATGAAAATGATGCGGCCTTGCGCCATAACAGGAAATATTTTCCTGCTGATTTGAAAAAAATTAAACTTAAGCGTGGAGAAATGCGAACTCGACAAAATGAAAACTTAGTTTGTTTGGCATGGCAAGATAAACGTTTAGTCACGATTTTATCAACCAATGTCGATCCACAGCCCGAAGTTTTCGGCCCTTTAGAAGAACGCACTGGAAAAAGGAAAGTCGTTCCCGAGGAAGTGCGAGAAAAACCTGCCGTCATATCATTGTATAATAAGTATATGAACGGTGTGGACGTAAACGACCAGTATAGGAGCTACTACCCTGTAGGAGCTCAATCTAAAAAGTGGTGGAAATATTTGGCTTGGTTTTTCGTGAATATTTCGATTGTAAATGGTTTCATTTTACGAAACTTGCAGACTGATCAATGCCATCGCCTAAAACATTTAGATTTCCGTCTTGTTTTGGCAAGACAACTTATTTCGACCTATAACGGCTACAAAAAGATGTTCCAGTGGGTAGAAATGTCAAGGGCCATAGCTTAGTGAAGTCTTCAGAGCGAAAACGAGCGTGTGGGATGTGCTCGAAAGCGGGAAGGAAGCGTGCGTCGGGAAGAACATTTTAAAGTGTGTATAAGTGTGAGCAATGTAATGTAAATCTTTGTAGAGAGCGTGTATGTTTTATGGAATGGCATCAATAAAGTTATAGTCTAATTAATAGACAAAACCTTTCAATGTTTGCATGTTTTATATTATGCTGTATGTAGTGCTTTTTAGTGTGAAGTTTCTTCGAAACTTCACAGTATTGTGATGGTGGGGAAAATTCAAACGAAACAGTCAGTCAGTCATACAGTAAACTTTCCGGGTGGCGTGTACGATTTATGTTCGTAGTGATTTATTGTGCTTAGTCAGTACTTTGAAGGTTATTTAGGCAATTTCAGTTAACTTATTTACATATTCTGTTATCCTTTTACCAAGTTCACAAAAATTTCGAGCAATCGCTTTCGTTATTGTAATTCTTTCATTTCTTTGTAAATTTTAGAACATTCGCTTCTAATGTTGTGTAAAGGATCTTTACCCCGGAACACCCGATTTTTCTTTAGTAGCGCAAATGCGCATGCGCTATCAAGCCGTAGATCACGATGGCGTGACGATATGCTAGGAAGGAGTGACAGTGTTGTTTTCAGATGTATAAACAATTCAGACGTGAATATTGAGTAAATCTTTGAAAATCTAAGCAATATATAAATTGATCTTATGCATTACGGCCGTTAATAAGTGTCGATAATATTTAAGCCTGGTTCACACTGGTCGTAAGAATCGGGGATTTCCATTGTCTGTGATCATTGGTGTGTAAAATGCTTTGTCTGTCGGAAAAGAATACAATAGGTCGCCGATTAATTACGACCAGTGTGAACCAGGCTTTAGGCGGTATATTCATTATACAGAGCTAGGAAGGAGCTAGGCCGCCTAGACAGTGCATTTAAGACTCAAGTGTATAAACATTTCAGACGTAAATATTGAGCCGAAAATCTTTGAGATTCTAGGCATTCAATTGAGTGCTGATATTATTTTCACGGTATACTCATTATACAGGGGTACAGTATGTACGAAGAAGCGAGACAGTGTTGTTTTTCAAATATATAAACATTTCAGACATGAATATTGAGAAAATCTTTGAGATTCTGCTCAATAATATGATATATAAATTGATGAGTATGGTTACCGGCATTCAATTAAGTGCCCATCGATAGACAATCTTATTTAGACCGTGTATTCATTTATACATTGTTATTTGACTGTATAAGGTGCCACATCACAGAATAGTACACTCAGGCAAATAGCGAAAAATTGCATCAGATCAATAAAGCATCAACAACTAGCGGGCGTTCGTACAAGCGGGCGTTCGTACAGGCGTTTATGAAGAAAATATTGCGAGACGAAGGAAATCAGTTGAGTCAGAGCTCCTTATTTTAATAAGAAAGACGAGGAGATAGCCAATATGTTATCGCCAACGTGTTATCGCCAATCGCTTGGCTCACCAACAAGCTTTATGCAATGGAAGAAAAAAGCAAGGAGGTACATGTAGCCATCGTGTACTGTCGCGGACCTTGTTTACTGTCTAGCACAACGCCGTTGTCAACGGTGCAAATTAGTGCAACGTTAACTCTACCAGATCTTACGAGAATTAATCTGTAGTATTCTGTACACAGAACTATCAAAGCTTGTCAAAACTGCTTTAAACACTGCTATAACTGTGAAACTATTGAAATCTAAAGTGACATTATTCAAAACATGCAAAAAGTTAAAAATAGACACAACGTGACACTGGGAAAAGTCAAAGGTCAATGCGGACTTGTTATTGTAAAACATGTCACAATTAGGTTAAAATGCGGAAGCGGATGGAGCGGACCACAGAACGGAAATGCGAAAAAAATACGGAACGGATGAAGATAAAATGCTTCCTTTCAATGATGTAACGACGTAGTGCTTATTATTTATAACATATCGTATACATCTATTTCAATTATAAGTTTGCAGTAGCCTTGTGCGGATGCTTTTAGCGAGAGCTGCAATTGAAATTTCGAATTGCCGCGTGTAGCATCATAATAAATAGATAAATTGTATCAGTTTCATAAAGCACGTTTCTGATGTGTTAGGCTTGTTTCAAACGTCACGCTACTCGTGTGTCGAGCGCATTAAAAGCAATATATAATAAGATGAAATGTGGTTGGTGATTGTTTATTTTGTAGTGTAAGACATCAGCTTTTTTAGGTTGTCAGCTACCCTATATATAGTTCTTGCAGAATCTTTTTCAATTTCAAACTTCACACTATCCTTGGATCCCTAGTTAATAAAAGACTGGCTCTTTGCCAGGCAGTTTGCCGAACAAGGAAGCCATGTCAATGCAGACATGACAGCTCTGTCATCATCTATCATAGTAAATTTCAGATTTCCCTCCCAAACTCTGCTTGTTTCATTTAAGTTTAACAAGTATATAAATCACAGGTAAATTTCAATAAAATTAAGACAAAAACCAACCCGTCAAGGCATGTATTTATAGGTGCATTTTGTTTTCAAATATTGTTATGGAGACACAAATTATAATTTATACATTACATGAAGGCAACTAAAAATATTCATGAAAAAATCTCATTTTTTTTAATCCTGGCTTTTCAAGTATTTTGTAAAACAAAAATCATAAAGGAAATGATAGAAATATTAAAGTTTATAGTATTTCAAGCCTTTAAATATTCAATGTCTTAATTACAAAGGAAACATTTTTCAGAAATTAGCTATGTATGAAGTTTTCACTCATTTATCTTGTCTGTTATGGATCTAGTTGTGCTCATTTGTACAAAAAATGAAAGCTTATTCATTACTCTATTGTCTTGCCAAATTTCATGTTTTACCATTATATTGCACTTGAGCTAGAACCATTCATGTAAACATAGTTGACAGGAACTAAAATTCACCATTTTGCTTGTCCACTTTGGGGGTAGAAACATTGTAACAGCTTGCACATTAATGAGTTAATAAAGCTTTGTCACTTTCTAATAAAGACATTCATCACATCGATCACCCATTTTCTGCTTTACCATAGCTTTCAATTTATCTAAGCAATGGCTGTTACTGGCGCTGCATTTTCTGTTGGATGGATTTGGCAATCATATGGAGTGACATCGGCTGTTTCACTTTCAGGAACTACTGTGCATTCCTGAATCATTTCCAGATTGCTTCTAAACTTTGCATGGTGTTCCAATTTACCCATTCCAATTATGCACAGTTGCATTAAAATATTTGCAATAGTGCTTGTGTGTCCAACTGTAATACCCCATTTAACACCACGTGAGTAAACCTGTAAAAATGTAAAAAGTGGCACTTAATTAATGTCTTTTATTCTTAATTTAGCTGGGATCAAGTGTGGCCAGTGAGATCCTGTCTATTTTACTCACCTGAGTGGAGTAGTGGACTCGCTCAGGGCGGACAGTGACTCAATGTTTAATTTACTAGGAAAACTTGGAAAGGGGGTTGTAGCACACTCAAGCCACACTTGCTCTCTTCTTGAGTTGCTTTTCTTATCATTATTCAGCTGTTATACAGTATAGCTTAAATAGACTTTTAGCATTACGCATTATAGTGACAACTGAGAACATTCGCTCAAAAAGTAACGAGTTTTTGTTGGCTTTGTAAAACGAGACCATTTAATGCAAAAACTGTGATATATCATGTTTTACATCACCTATATCATCATAATCTTGACTGAGAACTCACTCAGTACAATCCTCAATGCAAATGGTATTTGAGAAAATTAATAAGAAATGATAGAGATTACTAAGTGTTTATTTGTTAACCACCTAAATCCCATTATTATTTTAATAATATAAAATAAATAATATAGAATATCATTATTTTAGTCTGCATGCAGCAATACAAAAGAAACCTGTCTATAAGTAAAGCAACATATTTAGCTCGCCTATAATCTATATACAGTACTTACCGTATCTCTAACAGCAAACCTCATAGAATGAAAACAGTAATGTAATCCATATAGCTTATTAAATAGATCGAACAGAGTTCTAGTGGCAATTGAGATCATTTTCTCAGAAAGTAAGTCATTTTTGTTGGCTCCATAAAACGAAAACATTTATTGCAAAAACTACGATATATCAAGTTTTGGTAGGTACTAATGTAAGGAACGACCTACAACCACCTACAACGAGCCTACAACGGATCTACAACCACCTACATACAACAACCTATTTTGAATGTCGCGATGCATGGCGACATAACCTAAGTATCAGGTTCTATTTTACAAATAATAGCCTGACCAAACTTTATATTCAAACTGTCGCAGGAGAAACTTTAAATTTCACACAACGACAACAACAATCTAATATAGTAAAATATATCAACAACAATAGTATAATCTAGATAGATAGTTTATTTAAAAGAAAAATTACATAGCAGTCAACCGGATGAATTGCATAATTTGAATATTACATGTGTTGGAAATGTCAAAAGTTAAACTATGTAATGATTAATATATATTACAATAAGAATACTCAAACTAGGAACTAAAAAAGTTTAAATTAGGTCTTAGAGTTGTAAGTTAAATGTTAAAATTACGTCTTTAAAAACTTTTTCGCACACATTGCTGGGATGAAGGAGTGTCTGAATCTGTCTGTGTGAATTTGTGGAAGATGATACTCATGGTACTTACGAAGATTTAGATTGGGGCCATGTCTTGGCGGTAAAAGACTGAAGAGTTTGTGCGAGGGTACTGAGATTCTTTCAAACTGGTTATCGCAGAGTTCCTGACATCTGTTATGTAAGGTGGTTAAATCGCCAATTGGCCCATATTAGCATCATAGGTTTTACTCAGGTCAATGATTGATAATGCTGTCTTTTGTACTCTCTCAATATCAGCACTCAGGTACTGGGGCAATGTGCACCAGCCAATCAAATGACAGATTAAAAAATCTTTTGTCTCATAGACAAATCAGATTTCCAATCGAAATACGTTTGAGGCCTATTTATTTATTTTTAATGCATATTTTCATTGTTTTGAACAGGTTCTTATTTTTAATAAGCGACTATAACGGTCAGTAGCAATTCATTATTGCGGTCAATCAGGTGGAACTGGAGGTCATTATTCTTAAAATAATAACCTCCTTTTCTGCCTCAATGACCCTAATAATAACCTGCTGTTCTATCTCACTGAGATAGAACAAAAAACATAATGCACAAACTCCTCGGCCTTCTTAAAACTAATGACCTTGCGCTTCGCATTGTAGTGTTGTTGTAGGTGGTTGTAGGTCGTTCCTTACTTTAGTACCTACGATCAAGTTTTATATAAAATATATCATCATAATTTTGCTTGGGAACTCACTATCCTTAAGGGTTTCTAAGTGGAAAATGTTTATACATTCCACAGAAAGCCTGATTTGTTACTTGTTTTTTGCATTTACTATTTCAATTGCATTGAATCGAATCACAAAATAATAATTAACTATACGGCAATGCGCACCCACTATAAAATACTGTACTGGATCCGATATCAAGCTTACTTAAATGTGACTGAGGTGATATACACATAAAACTGTGGCAATTGATACACACATATTTAATTTATTAGTTATTTCCTAGTTGATTGTGCCAAATGCCTTTGAGTCTTACAGAAAATGCCTGAAGGAGTTTATACCATTTTTTCCTTAACTTTATTTAGTATATTGTTTTTGCACTATATTATTTGTCATGCAATTTCGGTGCTTTTGGAACCAAATTTCCTTAAGTTGTGCCAAATGCCATTAATGGCATTTGGCACAACATAAACAAAAGTTCTAAAAGGATCAAATTGATAAATATTAGCGTAATAATTTCACCAACAGGACAAAAGCAATGTTGCTTGTGGGATCTTCATTCTGAATTGAATGGTTCAAAAGGGCTATTATGTTATTTTTCATGGTGTAAACAGAAGCTGACACATCATTCTCTGTTAGATTTGGGGTAGACAAGGTATTCTGCCGTATCACTCAGCCATGATAATGCTGAATTTGTAAAATTTTCTTTTCGGTAAGTCGGCCACGTCCACCAACTATCTTTCCATCGGCAAGTTTGCCTTTAGTAGCATTCTTTAATTTTAGGAGATTCTTTCCCATTCTTTTTTGGACATTGCCAACACCAGCCAACTTTTCTTCTTTCACTTCATCATACGCATCTTCAATGGCACTAAAGGCTTTGCTGTCCCCATCGGATATCATCCACTTGTATCTAATGTTATGTAGTTCAATTGACCTGTTCCATAGAATTTTTGCACCTTCCACCTCCATTGCTGGGGAACTTCCATTAAAATTTATTTCACACTCACCAGAAAACACATGCTCAATCTCCCAGTCTTCAAATTCTTCATCATTCTCACACTGCCCTTTCTTCAAGGCACATCGCTGACATGTTTTCGAAACCACATGGTAGTCAAGGACTTCCCCAGTGTCTATCGATATGGCAAACACAACACCAATGAGAGATGTAAACCCTCTTTTAGCCCATGTGCCATCGAAGCCGACTCCAACGTCAACAATGGAACTGTCATCCTCAGATCCAATTTCTGCTAAAATGAGTTTCCTGAGCTTTTGTGCAGCCTGTCGTATTTCCTCTTTCACTTCCGCCTCAAGAGCACTTACAATAGTGTCCAGATGTTGATAGTATGCAGTCTTACTAATACAAGGCATGTTCATGATGCTGCAGAATATTATAAGGCTTTCATAACCACCGCTTGTCTCTACAGAATGATATACTGCTCAACGATTTACATCAGCAGAATAACCTTTGCCAGGTATCTCCAAATCAAACTCCTCTTGGCATGAAGAGCAACTAGCTGAGAGGTCACTCATCAGACTGCGTCTTCCTGATATATTTTCCTGGATCATCAAGCTGCCTAATTGACGATAATTATTAATTAGAAAATAAAAAAATCAATGAAATACTAAACTGCAACAATTTTTAGATTCTTGATACAATGGAGTATAGCTTTTGAAGAGAAACAATAAATAACTGAAACAAGTACAAATCATTACAACTTTAAAAAATGATGTAACTGTTTAGGAATTTCAAACTGTGTTCTATAGAAAAGATATAAACTAGTCTGAAGCATTTCAAGGATACAAAATGATAACTATAAACACATGAAAATTCATACAAACAAACAGTGATACACAATCTGGCACAAGGCTACTTTTAGTACTTACCATCATCCTTGGTATGTGCTTCGGATAGTGAATCGGAAAATTTGGCGATATCTATAAGACAATAGCCCTTCTTATCAAAATCTATCACCTGATCGGGGGTTTCAATGGACTCTGGAAGGAATTTTCTTCTTGATGCACTAACACGTGGTGTCTCAGAGGAGGATATTGACGAATTCTCCTGGGAGGTGCTCGGCTGATTTTCTCCTAAACCGCTTGGAGTTTTGTCATGTTTTTGCCTTCCAGAGAATGGCTTTCCTTTTCTCTTCTTTAATAATAATAATAATAGGTTTATTCAAAAACTTATTGCAGCAAATGCTGAATTACAAGTTAATAAATAAATTATCAAGAATAACTATATCTTTAAAAATCTGTCAAGTTACATATTTTACATGTTAGAAGATATCAATATTTACAAATTATATGTTTCTGTCCTTATGACAGCATCCAGTTAAAAATAGAGATCAGAAATGCAACCGCAAAAGACAAGGACCGTGGGCGCAAAAACGTAGGAGTAGTCGTTATATATATACAATAAAAAAACAAGGGGGAGCGGGAACCAGGAAAATTTAACTGGAATTAGTATTGCGCGAGAGTGTCCAAGAGGGCGTTGGCCATGGGCGTGGTGGGCTGTACGGACGGGGGGAGTTTTGGTGGTCATGTGACTTCAGGAATGTTGTGTCCTGCCGCGCGCTCTGGAGGGTGTGGATTTGTTTTTTTTTGGGGGGGGAGGGGCGCGCGCGCGTCGTTCTTACGAGAACGGGGGCTGGGGCGAGATGTTACTCCAAAGCCGCGGTCGACCGAAGTGATTTGGATTTGAAGTTCGCGCTCTTTTATGCTCGCGCGCCCGATTTTGGGGCGTCGCGGGTGTTTGCGGGTTGTTGGATCATATTTCGGGGCGTGAGCGACCTGAAATTACGGGTGTTTTTCGGGTAGTGATATATGACACACATACAATTTTTATATCATTTATTTATATTTTTTATACAATTATTCACAAAACATTTTTTTCGAGTTTTCTACTTTTACGATTTTTTAACGCTTCAATTGTGAATTTTTCAAGATAGCAAAGTTTTTCTAGTTTGTCTTTTTGTGTTTTAATTTTCTCTAATGCACGTTCGCGTTTATCGCCTAGATATATGTAGCATTGATAGTGTTTTATGTTATAAGTTTCGAGGGTTTCGTTGCTAGTAGTTAAAATTGTTTTTCGTTTTTTCTCTTTACCATCCAATGCGTAGAGAATAACGTCTTGTGAACGGATTTTCTCCTCGTCTGCTTCATCGTTTGCGATCCTTGTGAGATGTACGTGTTTATTTGGTCTACCACTTTTAGACGCAGACGATGCTTTTCGTTTTAGACTTTTTTTAAAATTGTTTATGTTTTTACCCATAGGTGTTAGGGGTATGTTTTTCACGGGGGTCGCGGGCGGTTGTGTTGGTGTGGGGGATGTTGCGGGAGATTGATTATCGCTACTTGATTCTAGTACTTCGGTTGTTGATGTTGTTTCATTTAGTAGATATTCTGCTTCGTTGTTGTGGTATAGGGTATTCGGGTTTATCGGGTTCATGATATTTAATAGATCGTTATTGTAGTATTCGTTCACATTGTTTAGGACAGGCGGTGACGTGTACGGTGGTGGCTGTTGTAACGCGTTGAAAAAGGTTTGTGGCGGGGGTGTTGTAATAATTGTGCTGCTTTCCATTGTCTGATAAATCGGTTGTTGTAACCACTTGATGTAGGCTCTGTCGAACGACGAGTGTACGGGGTTAGCTAGTCTGAAAAATTGAAAATCTGTAAACTTTTGAATGTAATGTAGTCGATTTACGTCGTTCTCTGCAACGCCTTGATATTCGAAGAAGAGCTTTAGATCTTGCTGTTGCTGTGCTGAAGCCATTGTGGTGAATAAACTGTCTGAAAACTCTCTTTGTGCAAAAGTAGATTAATGCATGTGACAGGTTAAAAGTAGATTACCTAATATGGTTGTGGAGTAAAAAAGTCGATTACCAAATATGGTTCGACGTTGTGTGGGGTTGTAACAAATGATTGATCTGTTTTTCTTAGAATGAAAGAATTATTGGCAAGATGTCGTTTATTAATTCGACGAAAAATGCAAAGAATGTTGGATTTGCAGACATTGTTGACCTTGCTGATCAGCATGCTTTTGCTAGTTTTTTTACGATATTGGATACCTTGTACTGCTGCAAAAGGTCGCTAACTTGTCCTTCATAGTATCCGATTTAAACACCAAACTTAAAGAATCTGAAAATGAAAAACAGTCTTTAGTCACAGTCCTTAAGTTGGTGAATCTAGACCAAAGTACCCACGATCAAAATTCTCATGGGACCCGGAAAACGCAGTGCAGAAGCATGAATAAAGATCAGCATTTGTCTACTCGTAGTCAAGATAGTGAAGTTGTTACGAGAAACGCGTTTGATGTCCTGAGTGATACGGGCGGCAATGAAACCAACATTTATGATTATGACGACGATAGAAGCAAAGTCGATGACCCCAGCTCTATAGCTACTTCGCAACGAGAATCCCAACGATCGATCGCAGACAATGAGTCCTCAAATAGCAGACCTGCCAACAAGTCAATTAAGCATCAACAAAAGCGGCATGCTAATGGATCAAGTAATCAGCACAATGCAAAAGATGGCAAAAAGAAATTAGTCTTTATTGCCGGGGACTCTATTGTTCAGAATGTGCATGGCTGGGAGATGTCTAATACCGACAGAACTGTTGCCGTAAAATCTTTCTCAGGAAGCAAAGTCAATGATATGCAAGACTATTTGAAACCATTGCTTCGTCGCAACCCACATCAAATAATTCTCCACATTGGTACAAATGACATTAAGTCAGAGAAATCTCCCGACCAGTTGGTAGAAGGTATTGTGAAATTAGTTAGTCAAGTGCGAGAAAAATCTGCACATATCAAAGTAGCCATCTCGGCTCTTACCATCAGAAAAGATGGTCATCTAATTCAAACAAAAGTTAATCAAACAAACAATCTACTTAATTCATTCTGCTCAGATAATAATGTTGACTTTATTAATCATACTAACATAGATTTAGATTGTTTAAATCGTGGAGGTTTGCACTTGAACCGCAAAGGTAGCACGATAATGCAAAGAAACTATATGGATTTTTTAAATTGACGCGACATTCGTCAGACTAACTCGGAGGAAATGTTGTATTCGAATAGGTTACCATATCTTAGGGGTTTCAAGATGGCATTACTGAATATTGTCAGTTTGTCGAAACACATTGATGAAATTCGCTTATTGTTAGAAAATCAGACTGTTGATATTCTTGCACTCAATGAAACAAGACTTCACCCTGATATTCCAAGTGAATTTGTTAATATTGACGGATATGATATAGTTCGCATGGATAGGGACAAACACGGTGGCGGTGTCTGTTTTTACATTAGGCGGACGATATCATATTTAAATCGTGGTGATTTAGTGCCGGAAAATTTAGAGACAGTATGTCTGGAAATTAACCGGCCCAACTCTCGTTCCTTTATCGTTTCTACTATTTATCGTCCGCCGTCAGCAACCGTCGAATCTTTCTCACAAATTGAATCTTTGCTTAAGAATGTCGATAACGAGAACAAGGAAATTTACTTATTAGGAGATCTAAACTGTAATCTGTTAGACCAGTCCAACTCTTCTGCTAAACACTTACATTCTATCATGCAACTTTATCAACTTACACAAGTAATCGATAAGCCTACAAGGATTACGGAATCGTCTTCTACGTTACTAGACGTTTGTATTACCTCCTGTCCTGAGCGAATTGCATTTCATGATGTAATTCATATGGGAGTGAGTGATCATAGTTTAATTTATGTAGTAAGAAAAATTAATTCATATCTTAAACCTCACGCTAGCAAAAAAGTCGAATTTCGAAGCTTCAAGCATTTCAATGTTGAGAATTTCAAAGTCGACCTTATAAACTTACCATGGTATTTAGTTGACAGAGAAACTGATATTGATAATAAATGGGAATATTGGAAAAATCTTTTTATTACTGTTCTTGATAAACATGCCCCGGTTAGGGAAAGACGGGTACGAAATAAAATATCTGTGGCATGGATTTCTAGGAATATCAGAAACAAAATGTTTGAAAGGGACCGTTTGAAAAGAAAAGCAATTTTGTCAGATTTAAGTGAAGATTGGAGCCAGTATAAACATTATAGGAATAATGTCAACATTGCAATGCGTGAAGCTAAGAAAGTTTACTACAAAAGCAAATTTGACAAACATCAAAACAATCCAAAACAGGCTTGGAGGACGATTAATGATATCCTTGGGAGAAAAAAAGAAGGACACAATGATTAACGAATTAAAGCTAGGAAATGATACAATTACTTCTCCTATGAGAATGGCTAATTGTCTTAATGACTATTTTACAAGTATTGGTGGTAAAATTGGAGACTCCTGCTCTGAACACACTCAAAATTTAAATTTTGGCAGGCATATGAGTGATAATCTAAATACTAGTTTGGAATTTACTTTGCATCCTGTTAACGAATCACAGGTTTTTAGGCTACTTAACAATTTGTCTATTTCTAAATCTACTGGATGTGACAAAATACCGGCTAAAATTCTAAAAAAATCTGCTTCTGTAATTACACCATCTTTGACCAATTTGTTTAACTCTGCTATTGGGATGGGAATTTTCCCCTCTGAATGGAAAAGTGCTAGAGTTATACCGCTTCATAAGAAGGGTTCACGCTCCGTTTTAGACAATTATAGGCCAATATCAATTTTGCCGGTCATCAGCAAAATATTTGAAAAGATCTTGTATGAACAGTTATACGAATATTTTACTACCAATAATTTATTGTCTGAACAGCAGTTTGGGTTCAGGCGCTTTCATTCCACGTCCACTGCTTTGCTTGATTGTACTGATGAGTGGTATGTTAATATGGATCGTGGTTTGTATAATCTTGCCGTTTTTCTCGATTTAAAAAAAGCATTTGACACGGTAAACCACGACATTTTACTGGCTAAACTAGAGTTATATGGTATTAAGAACACGCCTCTTATGCTTCTCAAATCGTACTTATCAGATCGATCTCAGAAATGTCAAGTAAATGGGGAACTTTCCACACTAAAATATCTAAAATATGGCGTTCCTCAGGGTTCAATTTTGGGTCCACTTCTGTTTTTAATTTATATCAATGATTTGCCGAATTGTTTACAACACTCTACAGCACGCATGTTCGCCGACGATACTAACATTACAGTGTCCGGTAAATCAATTAAGGAAGCGGAGGTGGCCGTTAATGTCGATCTCAATAATATCAGAGAATGGCTTCTATCGAACAGGCTCTCTCTTAACCTTGTCAAAACGGAATATCTTTTGATTGGATCACGCCACAATATTAACACGTTAGAAGAACAACCGCGTGTTTTTATTGGAGATGAACCAATTAAAGGGGTTCAAGTTACAAAAACTCTTGGAGTCAAAATTGATCAATTTTTAACTTGGGACAGTCATATTGAACAAATTTCTAAAAAAATATCTTCTGGAATAAGTGCCATGAAAAAGATAAAGGATTTCACTAATTCTGATACTTTGAAGTCGGTCTATTATGGTCTTGTCCAACCCCATTTCGACTACTGTTGTGAAGTTTGGAATTCCATTAGTAGAGGCCAGTCTGAACGACTACAAAAACTTCACAACAGATGTGCTAGAATTATAATGAACTTTAAAGATGAGCCTGGGCAATCTCAACTGGCCCTCGATCAATTAGGGTGGATAAGCTTGGAAGAAAGGCGAAAACATAATATGGCCCGTCTCATGTTTAAGGTTGTCAATAATCTGGCACCATTGAGGTTCTCATCAATGTTCCAGAATTCTAACCATATCCACAGTTATAATTTACGAGGTTCAAATTCGTCTCTCTTTCTGCCACGACCAAATACTGAGTATGGCAGAAAATGTTTTCGATATAGTGGGGTTAAAATCTGGAATAGCATTCCTGAACAAGTAAGAAACAGCGAATCTTTAAATTCTTTCAATAGAAATATTTCCTCTGTTAGTCTGACGAATTAGCTATTTGAGTTTTGTATACCATTTGTTTTGTAATATGTATTTGTATTCGTAGTTCTTAATTTTCTTAGTGATTTTGTATTTTATATATTTTTGTAACATTTATCTACGCCCCACTTGGAAAGCAGCTATGGTTGAAGTGGCCAGCGTAGTCAAATAAAGTTTTATCCTATCCTATCCTATGGCGAGTGTGTGAAAATATTTACAGAAATTGTACAAGAAATGGCTACTGGTTCTACATGGGTTGATGGTGAGCAATATGAAAAAAACATAAAACTTATAGTAAATCGTACATTGTCAAGAAACAGACTTGTGACATCCGACATATCATTTTATTTTAACGATTTTGTTTATTCTAATATACAATATGTTTTAACAGGACGACTTCGATACAAAGCGTACGGTATAAATACGTATAACGTGAGTTTTGTGGATTTGCGCGTAAACGAGACGTATCGAAATCTTTTGAGAATACCCGTGTGTTTTAGAAATAATGATGGGTTTTTTGATCATTCTTCACCGCTATCTTTATTGTTTGATATGGCACTGCGTAATATTTATACGGTGAACGATGTGTGGACAATGATTAAACTAATAGTTATACGAACAAAGATACTATGTAGTTATGCGTTATTACAAGGAATTATCGAAGACATATTAAAGGCTAAAGCAACGGGTGTTTGGCAAGAGATATAGGGATTTTTTTTTTTTTAGATTGTGTTGATTGTTGAAATGGATATGCAAGAGGTTCGCGATTACTCGCTACCCGTCGATATACCCTTACAGAATGAAATGTGCGACGACAAGTTCGATGTTTTTGAAACGAAACGTTTGTTGACTATTGATAAACAAATGATAAATTTTATTTTAACATTTTCAAGAGAAAATATTTTAAAACTATCGCTGCATAAACCTTTGTGGGTGGTAAACAATGCGATGATTACACCGTTTCCTCAGACTTATTTTTATTTTTTAAATTCTGTTGTAAAGCAAAACGTGTGTGTAATCACAATGATGATGTTATGCTGGAGTCGGGATATTTATGCGATTATTGACGTGGTCTTTCACATGACACCCGAGAAAGCATATACGAATCCTGTTAAATATCGTACACCGTATATTGAAATTAAACGTAATTTTAACGTGCTTTATTTTATGAATATGCTTTATACATGTGAATCAATAAAGACATACGTGTACGGTCGTGTGGAAACATTTATCGAAACTATTTTTCAGCATAGCAGTATGGATATATCGGTGCAGAATTTATGTACGAAGATTTCCGACTGTATACGAATGTATGGCTCATGTCGTTTGACTCAAATTCTAGTTTATTATTGTACGATGCTAAAGGATGCACGTATGCGCATGTTGCACAATTGCAGGGGGGTGTGTGTTGTGAAATACTTCCCCTTTTTTACACCGTGGTATTCGCAACCTACATGTCGGCATGGATAGTGTACTTCAAAATACATACATTGGAGAAAATGAAGATAAGGGTGAAATTCAAGAGTTATTGTTTAGGGACGATAATTTTTTAACGTTGGTCAAAGAAATGTGGCGTTATTATTTACCTATGGAAAATCTCGACCTCGATGAGATACAGAGTAAGATTGTAAATGGAGGGTGTATAATAACATTTCCACAATGTTATTTTTATTTTGAAAATATGTATCTCATTGCGGGTAGTTCGACAAGACGTCTGGTAATCGGTTGCATATGTTTCTCGTTGGGATTTTGTGGACTGATCGAGGTTGATTTTTATATGCAACCGTGTAAATCAATGTATATAGCAACAGATCGCGTATGGAGTCCACCCTTTTGGTTGGTTACAACCAGTATTGATTTGATATGTCATGACGAGGAATACGTGGGGAGTTTACATACATTTCTATATCAAAAAACAAAACTTTTTATGGCCGCTATCGATCAATGCGAACAGTGTAGTGACGATGTTTTACGCGAAGTATGCAATACAGTATTGCACATGTTCCCATCTTATCGATTGGCGCGTATTATTAAGTATCTTATAAAACTACAATATACGGTTAAAGATTTTATGACGTCGTCGTGTAAATGTATCACGTGGAGTACAGAACGACGTAATCTGCAGTATGTACCCCCAAGATGTCGTTGTGAGACAATGTGTGCTTCGTCGTGTGCTACACAGTTTAAAGATTTGGGATACGTTTGTGATTAAATGTTTTGTCGAGCTACACCTTGTGAAGAGGAGTTAGAATTCTATGATGTTCTTCGTCGAGAGAATTATTTGAATACGGGCAGAGAGGAAACCGTGAATTTGTTATATGCCGAGAATATTTTCTCTTTCTCTCATTATATGTACGTTGTTGTAAAACATTTGGATTTGAAACGTTCGATATTGTCGTTGGATGTAAATTTAACAGTCGTACGTTGTACTAGAAAACATATTATATCAAGATTTTTGATAAAATGGGTACCCTCTACTTACAAGCGTCGTGTATGTCGGGAATCTATGGGATGTCGTATGCCTCGTCACACAAGTGGTTGCAGCCATGCATATTTTGAGAATTATTCTCACATGTCGAATACTTTGCATGATATTTATTATATACTGACGAGGGAATCATTGAAAAAAGAACTCCCGGACGTGAAAAAGATCCGTGAAAAAATTTGTTTAGACTATGACGTATTTGTGAGCGAACATTTAATTCAAATTTATATTTTTTATGCACAAAAATATTATGCGAACAGAAGTTATTTTACTAAGAACTGTAAATGTAATGCAGCTAAACCGTATTGTGTTTGTGATTGTATAATAGATAGATTTATAAAATAAAAAATATTTTTTTCTTATCAGTGTGTGTGTGTGTGTTCGCTAGTATGGAGGTTGTAGAGCGTTGGTTTGAAAAACAACATAATCAAATTCAAAACTGGGAAAAAAATCATGTGCGAAAATATCAAAAAGATATTGTCAGCCGAATTACTCACGTTATGGATTGTGAGGCGTACACGTTGGGTAAAAATCAAGTTTATTTAAGAGAGGTGTCCGTGTATCGAATACGAGACAAAAAGACATTTTCATTTCAAATTTATATGCCCGATATTTATATAAATCCAAAAGTTGTACACTATCAAATTCACCACGTACACGGTCTACCCGTGGTGCGTGAAAAAAACAACGAGGATTTTTTACAATATCGTGACGTGTATAAAGTGTTATGCGAAGAGTTTATGACCTCTGCAGATCTGGTCGGTTACAAGGGTGGTACTATCGAACGAGATTTATTAAAGAAATTGGGTACAAAGGGAATTAATATCGAGTTATTGGGGTGTGAAAAGTATGCGAACTTGATTACCAAATATGGTATAACACCCGAACGTTGTCCATATCATTTATATGGTGATTATCATTGTTCAAGACACGAAGTTCAGGTATTTGCACATTTTTTAAACGAGTTAGCACAAACATGTCGGACTACATCGAGGACATAGATCTTTCAAAAGGACAGTCAGCTATCGAGGCGTTTGATATTTTATTGAAAAATTATCAACATCATCCCATTTTATGGCGTTTGTATTCTGTAAATACTACGTTACGTATGAGAAAACCCCGTACGGATAAAGAACGTGTTATTCTTGATTATGTCGTGGAAAAAGAACCGTGGTTGAGTGGTGTGGGTAGTGGTTTGAATTCTATCATTTGTTACGATGATAAATTTAAAGATGAATACGGAAATCCTGCGGTCGAAGCTTTGGTTTCGCCAAGATATAGTGAAGGGATCGTGTATGTGATACCCTGCGAATGGGTGAAAAGAGTGGTATTTAATGAAAAGGGGTACATGATTCTAAAATCCTTCGAGTTTTGCTGCCGTCAAGTTTTGAAGCGCACCGATTGTAAATTGGTACGTTGTCAAGAGATGATTTTAGGCGAACCCTATCTTAAGGATGCGTCTTATTTCCATGTGGGTTGTGGACCCTGCAATGAAGAAAAAGTGTATTTGTTGTATGAAATACCGATTTTTTTGGGTTTAAAACCCTTGTTTGAAATATTTCAAACAACATCGTTTACAACGGATATATTATATATTATATATATATTAGGTGATCTCGATGATATGACGCTTCATATGATGAAAAATGACGGTTCGTTTCGAGAATACGATAGCGAATATTTACAGAAAATGTTAAAACATATTTTAGTATGTAGTAGATGTTGTAAATATTTAAAAGATTTTATAATGACAATTGATAAGTTTCTCGAGATAACCGACCCTGTACCGGATTATAGCGATAGTTGTAACGTAGAAACATTTTTAGATGATATAATACCATGTGATGTTTTTTTGATAGACGGTGAATTTAACGTGATTCGAGAACAATACTATTCGGCGTTATCAAATCATACTAATGAACTGGGTATTGAAGCTTCGCACAGTCTTGTGTTGAAATTCATACAAGAACATGGCAGTGTTTCGCAAATATAATATTAAAACGTTGTACTTTAAATATCCTTATACGCGTTGGATTTACAGGAATAAATGTGTAGTGGGATTTATTAATTATAATAATCAATATGATTACGATGAGGATTACTTCTGTTGTTTAGTTCATATGGCAACACGGGGATATAGTATTCAGCCAGCATCGTGTATTCAATGTTTATGTGGGTTTTCAGATAAATATTTAGAGTTTGTTGAAACGCGTCAGTATATTGTGGGTCTCGTGTTAGAAGGTTGTAAAAATGGTTAGTACGCGAACATTTTATTTTGAAACAGCTGGTGCTAAAGAGATACTATTGCGAGAGCTAATGTTAAAATGGTCAAAGAATGGAATGTTGAAATATTTTAAATATGTAAAATATGAACTATGTGGTTCAACGAAAATAGTGGGTCTGGTACAATTTTGTAGACGTTTTTCGAAAAAAATTCTACGTTTATGTTTTATGGAAGAAAAGATAGATATGCGAATTTTACAACCCGTGGGAAAACCGTTGATTTTAACATATATGCAACTGTGGGTGATAAGAGATTTTTTTTCTGCAACCGAATATGAACACGGAGAATTTAGTCTCGGGGGTAAAAAAAGATGTCTGGGAAATACTGTACGACCGTATTTGATGGGTTTAAAACACACTACATACAATACATCAAATACAAATATTTGTCGATTGATTGAATTCAGAAAGATGCTAAAATTACGCTATAAAAATATGTGAAAGGGATGATTTAACCACCAGTCGCTCGACGTCTGCAACGATGATGGAACATTTTTTATTATGGAGACGGGTTAAATTTCGATACTTTTTGAGATAATCTATATCTCAATTTTATTCACCATGTTAAAACTTAATTTATTTACGTATAAACGACCGAAATTTAAATAAAACATACTTGTAAAAAGTTGATTACCTTATATGGAATGATGACGACATTGGCTATGAATAAAAGGACTTTGAAATTTATGGAAATCATTATTTGTGTTGTGTGTGTGTTACAAAAAAGACGCATCGGTAAAAAATTTACGTCGTCTTTTGTTTGAAACGTGGTAAAGAAAATCAGCACACGGAGAATATTTTGGGTAAATATTTATTGATGATACATTACATGTTTTGCGGACGGTATAGTATTTCTAAGCTTAGCATGTCCACCCTTGCGTTTCTTTTTGATTCCTGCACCTTTTTGTTGGTAATTTTTTCGGACTGGCATGGGGGGGGAGGCGTTTCTTGCTTGTGTTTGTTGAGATCCTCCCAATGCACTCAATGCCAACCCTTTCGCCGCGTTTAGAAGTGGATTTTTTAATTTCGTAAAAAAATTCCCACCATCCTGTTTCTTGCTACGTTGATACTTTTTCCCCTTGAAATTCCCCCCGCGTTGTTTTCGTTTACGACCCATATTTTCGTACGCATGCGGTTAACAAATAATTATTTACAGTTACCAACAGTGTTTTTTATTCCCAATATTCGTTTCCGTACGAAGTAAATATTTCTTGGTTGGCGGGTATTTTCTTAGTCGCTTTTAATTTAAACATTTGATTGCCCTTTATTTTGGCATTGTTTTGAAAAGATGTACCCCGACTATCGTTAACAAAACGTGCCGCTGCGTCTGTGGTGTATGTGGCATCAACGCATCGCCCTCGTTTATTACATACGGCATATTTTGCAACACCGTCCCCATATTTTTTATCCAATTCTTTTTTGCTTAATTTACGCCCGGTATATTTTGAAATCAATTTTCCCCGTGTGATGGGTTTTTTCCACGCAAATAATCCCTTGCCAGCACCCGCCACATTGGAGGGTTTAATGCGTAAATTATTTTGCTTCGCTAGATGAATCCAACATTTTTCTGTATGCGCTGTTCGTTTACGACAACGTACATCTTTTTGTGTATTGCTTACACATTGTTGAGATTTTCGAATACTTTGTGATCGGGGTTTACGTTTTCTACGTGTCTGTCTGACGTAGTAAATTTAATACAAATTTTTGTCGCCGCGGTATTTTCTTAGTTCTCGCCATTGCTTAGATGATTACGGAAATGCCTACGTATTGGTCTTTGTGACGCTCTATATAATTGATAGCGTTGGTTATTTTATTTGCCAGGTGTGTGGGAATTGCGTACGTTGTACACATATCTGCAAATCGAGACCATAAATCGTCGATGGATATTTTGACAAATGCTTCGAGATGGTTGTGACACCAGAGAGCAAGGGCATCGTTAAATAATATAGGTATGATTGTGATGTCTTGATCGTCATCGTTAAATTCATAATCTGCTACGTAATTTTCTTGGGGGTTTGTAAGTGATTTAAAATGAATGTTTATGTGACCCGTTGCCATTGCTATACGTCTTGTCTTGTCGCCAATATTATTTATAATGGGTTCTAAATTGTGTACGGGTAGTAGTGATACGCCTCTTGTTACGTTCGATTGTATGTTTGTGAACGTCAATCGAAGTCCAAATATTCAATTGGATATTACAGACGGTGGGGAAGAGGGTGTGAAAGAAGAAGAGGAAGTGAAGCTGACGCGTTGTTGTTGTCTGTTATGGCATCGTCGGCGTCGAAAAAACGAAAACGAGACGAGGACGACGTAGATGGAGAACTCGTACAAGATATCGTACGTATTATTCGTACTAGAAACCATACCGTACCCAACTATGACATTTCCGCTCAGCAAATTCACGAACTTGTGGACATAATTCGCACAAATCAAACTAAACGCGTACGGCGCGAAGTGTTTAGTGCTGAATTATTACGCGTCAATCGACGCTTTAATCACAACGAATTTATTTATAATATTAGCGTAGGACGTAATAATGCGAGTAGTTTACCGGATTTTTTACAGAGTATGAATACTGTTTTTAAATATTTGATAAATGTAATGAATTTTAATGCTAGTTCGCCGACCGATAAAGCACGTTTCTATATTTCGAATGCTCCGACGGCTAGTTTCTCGACGGCTATTTTAAATGTAGGGGATTTTACACCTGCATTGTTTTTAAATATTTTCGAACGACATATGCAAAGTAATGCACGTACCATGATTGACAATGGCTGGCAATCGATCGTGAGTCTATATATTTTCCCCAATAGGTATGTGCGCCCTCCAAATAATAGGAAAAAATCAAAACAGCCTAAAATTTATAAATATTACGGTAAAAATCCTAGCGAGTCGGGTAACGGTCGCACATCGGCAAGTAAGCATGGGCGGGGGGTACGAAATGGTGTTTTTCAAGTGGTAAGTAGTAAAAAATGTTTTGCCCTTAGTTTGCTGGTGGGAAAATCGTTTTTGCACAAAGACAAACAGTACGATGTTTTAAATGTACGACGTAACACGGAACTCACGACGTTGTATACAGACGCACAGATCGACAATGTTTACGCATGCGCTAACATACCCCAAGGTTCCGTACGTGTTGATCAATGTAATTTGTTTTACGAGAATTATTTACGTGGGGACAATATTGATTTGGTTATTTTTTCTAAAGCTCGACACGATTCCATCGTTTACGATTCGCGTTTAGATGCGTCGGGAAATATTCATCGTATTACCGAAAACGTTATTTTTCTTTGGTTAAACGACGCTCATTTTGATTTGATTTTATCGTCACGAAAATTTATGAAAAATAGCGGATCTCGTTTTTGCATGAAATGTATGAAATACTTTTGTGTTTTTGAAAATGCCACGACCCACGTTTGTCACACGGTAAATACGTGTAAGAAATGTTACGCTCACGAGGCAAAATGTGTTAGCGAGGAGGGTTTTAAAATCGAATGTAGCGAATGTCATGTGCTGTTTCGTAATAGGGAATGTTTTACAAAACATTTAACGCATGCTATTTTTAAAAACAACTACAGCAAAAATGTACCCGCCTGTCGTTTTTTCTTTTTCTGTAAAACTTGTTATCGAATCGTACCGCGTATGACACGGATTAGTACAAAAAAATCAATTAAACACAAATGCGGTCAATTTTATTGTCTTCATTGTAATGCTATTAAGGATCAGGGTCATGCTTGTTACATGAAACCGTATAAAATTCCTGCCGGTGAAGTATTGCCCGTGTTGTATTTTTACGATCTTGAAACGCGTTTGAATGACGAGAAACTTATGGTACCCTTTTATGCTGTTGTACAAAAAGTTTGTAGTCAATGTGACGAGAAAGAGTTTGTGAGATTACAGAATAATTTTTTGCCACATCCCACGATAAAGCATTGCGACAATAGTGTAGAACCCGTAGCATGTTGTATGCACAGACAATATGTTTTTGAAAATAATAACGAGGATGTCACCGATTTACTTATTAGTTTCATGTTTGCTCAGACCAAAAATAGCGTGTGGATAGCACACAACGGGGGACGTTTTGATAATATATTTTTACTTCGAGAATTGTTAGTAAAAAGGGG